GCATACATCTTTTTTGAGCAATACCTGGATATATGGAAGACAGCGCTGATCAACCTAGCTATGGCTCTTGGTGAAAATTGCTAAACTCTTCCTCTTCCAAATTAAATATTTCATTGAGATTTTAATTATTAGATTTCACAGAAAGGGTTCTACAGCCCTTTCCGCCTTTAGACGCTGTTTTTGTGTCCCAATTGTGACTTAGGTGATCTCTGATCTCTTAGAGAAAATACATGTAGAAAGACTGAACTTCCTCTCAATCTCCCTCCTATTTTTCTTTTTATTTCTACAATCTACAGAATACCGGAGCATCTCTAAATGTCAATAGTGGTGGCGTAAATTTCTTCTTCATCTTATCAGAGTGAGAGAGAACCACAGCCTAGGCGGAGGCTGTTGCAGTTGATAATTTTTGTTTAAGAGTTGTAGTTATTATTTTTTCATTCAATAGTCTATGGGAAGATCATTGCTAGCCATGTATTATTCCTCCTTTGAGTCTGTATTAATGTGGCGGTGATCCCAGTATGTCATCAAGGGTAGTATTCGTGGTTTGAAGTGTGATTCACATCTGAATGTTTACTAAAATTGGTTGCTTTTCGGTTCAGGTGCTGTCTTTATTGTGTGTTGGCTGATCACATGCAGGTGTGCATACTTTATCTTGGCCTTTATTTGATTTTCCCAAAATTTCTATGAGAAGAAAAATACTAAATCTAGATGGTATACGTTTATTTACATTTTAAACCCAGGTTGTTATTATACTTCTCTCATTTCTTTTCTTTCTGTCACAGTTTATGGAGTTCAGCTATCATTATAGTTGTTTTGGCAATGGTGGTTGTGGATCTCATGGTAGGAACTTCTGTTGATGGAATCTTTAATATCCTTTAATTTTCTGATTGTGATGCACCACTACGTTTTGGCATTCCCTTCCTTACTTCTGCCAGTCTTGTCAACGTTATGAATATGATTTAGTTTATGAGAGATGAGTGTTAGGCCTGGATTATGTACATTTGGAGGTGACAAGCTGGCTTTTATATATATTATTGAGAGAAAGAGAGAGGCCTTAATGAATTTTTGGTCTCTGTAACAGTGACGAGACAGCAAAGTACAGCTCATAACTCATGAGTTAATGTGATACCCTTCTACTAGGGCAATGGGTTATGAATTTGTGCTATAAATAGAAATATGTGTAATATTTTCCTATATTAACTTATCACTATTGGTAGAAAGACTAGGAAGTTTCAATAAAATCACATAATCACTCCTTCGGCTTCTTGCTGAATCAAAGTTTGATAGTTCTGTTTTTTGACGTATAATTGTTTGCAATCTTTTTCTATCAATCTACTGTAAAAATTTTAAATATAATACTCAAGTGAATTGTTATGTACAGGGTGTAATGGCGATTCTGAACATCCAACTCAATGCAGTCTCTGTTGTAAATCTTGTAATGTCGATTGGGATAGCCGTTGAGTTCTGTGTGCATATAACCCATGCTTTCTCGGTTAGTATGTACCTATTATTCAGCTAGCTGCACTCTTTGGCAGCTGAAGCATTTTAGTGTTCTGCCGAGGTATGATTCAATTTGAATTATTTCATTTATAACTCTTACACAGGTTAGCAATGGTGATAGAGAGCATCGAGCTAAGGAAGCTCTGGGTACTATGGGTGCTTCTGTGCTCAGGTTAGCTACTTCCATTCTGACCTCCAAATTTCATTGCAGCATTCAAGAAAAACTAGAAATTTGGCACTTTTTATTCGTTATCTTTTTTCTTGTCACTTTATTATATTGTCATTCATGGTTACACGGTACTGTATAATGTCTCAAATGCGTAGAGCTTGATACCACATACCATTATATGCAAAACATGGGCATCTAATCTCACTTCAGAGATCCAGAAGGCAATATAGAAAGTTGTCATGGAAAACAACCCACGTGCTCTTCTGGCATCTTGAGGGCAGTTTAGATATTTTACATCTTGCTTGGTTCAGTGGTTGTTGAACTTTTGGGAAATAGAGGTCAAACCAAGTAAAGCAAGTTTAGGAAGTAGAATGAATACAACTCTGTTGGCTCCACTGTTGGTGGTCATTTGAGTTCAATATAACAAAGTCATTTCTCTTCCAATCCTTACGGAAAAGTGGAAATGTGAGAGATGAAAGTAACGAAGCTTGGTTAAGGAGAACTTCTTGTTATGCTTCAGTAGTACCAGTGCCCTTTCGATTTACAGCATGCTTAATTAAATACTACAATACTTGTCTGACAACTTTTTTGGTATATTCTGTCCTTGCAGTGGCATCACGCTAACAAAACTAGTTGGAGTCATTGTCCTTCGGTTTGCCAGATCAGAAGTTTTTGTGGTCTGCAATTGACTAATTATCTTCAAATTTTCAATTCTGACTTACTGTAATAGAATCTAAATTTCGGTAATCTTTGTTTTGCAGATATATTACTTCCAAATGTACCTTGCATTGGTTCTTATTGGGTTTTTGCATGGGCTTGTGTTTTTGCCTGTAAGTTAAATTCCCTTTGCCTTTGAGTTTCTCATAATTATCACACAGGGATTAGTCATAAGTTTCAATCACGGTGGACTCATACATTGATATAGTTGGTTGATGATCATTTTATTGGTTTTTACAGGTGGTACTTAGTATATGTGGTCCACCTTCAAGAAGCAACCTCATTGACGAGAGACAAGAAGAGCAGAGTTTGTCTTCATCACAACGTAGCTGATCTGCAAATTTGTAAAGCTAATTTTTTTTACTTTTTCTGGTGAAAAAGCCATTGTTGTATCCTACCTGATTATGTATAATCAAAATGCTGAAATAAATTTTCAACTGTAAATACTTTAATTTAATTTATATAATATCAAGCTGCATTTGTAAGTTTTATCCTCTATTCGTATTCAAGTTCATCTTTGATCTGTCAGGAACTTTGTTAGTCCCACATCTGTGGAAAAATAGGATTCAAGAGAAGATCAGATATTGAGATCTATAAAAACCAATGCAAAAGCAACGTTTTACATACTTACCTGGACGGGGTCAATGAACGATCAAGAAGGTTCATGGCCTAGGTTAGTGACCTCCATTGCACTCAGGAGGGGTGCTGGCCTAAGATATCCCCAAGTGGGATAGTCTACGTCATAATTTGTTGCCGAGGGGGTACGCGTTCGCGCGGCCCTTGCCAAATCTTAATGCAAATGTTTAACTGCATACCAAAAACTGTGTGCTTATAGGAACTCATATTTGCTCTAGACAAAAGTCCTGACACCAGAAGAGAGCTTTTCTATCCTGTTACTGCATTTGTTAACTGTCAGGCATTCCTGCCAGGGCTGTTACAGTTTGCCAGTTTGTTTTTCTTAGACAAGTTGGTACTAGACAAGTAGTTTGCTCCGAAAAACATTTCAAGCTATTGTGAAGGCTATTTAGAAAAGTTCAGAGGTGGTTCTGTTGCTATTTGCTATTTGCTAATCAATGTTTCATTCTTCTTCATTCTACTGCCTCGACCTTATCGATTTTGCTC